CCGCCGCGGCCCCCGCGCTCGGAGCTCTCCGCCGCCCCTCTCGTCGTCGTCGTCGGTCCGTCGTCGGTCCGTCGTCGTCGGTCCGTCGTCGTCGGTCCGTTGTCGTCGTCGTCGTCCTCGTCCTCGTCCTCGTCCTCGCCCTCGTCTTCGTCCTCGCCCTCGTTCTCCTCGTCCTCGTCCTCGTCCTCGTCGTCGTCGTTTTCGTCGTCGTCGTCGTCGTTGACATCCTTACCGAAGTGTTTCAAGACGAAGAAATAAGAGCCCAAATAGGATCCCAAGATGGCTCCAAGAGCGCCTTGAAGATGCCGACCATGACGATTTCGCTAGGGACATCCTCAAAGAAACGGGAGCTCGGCAAACCAAACGGGAGCACGGCAGACCGCACAGGAGCACGGCAGGCCACAGGAGCGTGGCAGACCGCGCAGGAGCACGCCAGACCACGCAGGAGCACGGCAGATCACACAGGAGCACGGCAGATCACACAGGAGCACTGCAGACCACGGCAGGAACGTTGCAGATCATGGGAGCACGGCAAAGCACAGGAACACGGCAGACCACAGGATCACGGCGGACCACACAGGAGTACGGCAGACCACGCAGTAGCACGGCAGACCGTGGACCAGCTCACGCGCACGTGGCAGCGGCTCTGGCTCCAGGAAGGCTTCTCCAGTGGAGTCGGAACCCACTGGTGGGATGTTGGCTCCTGGACGCTGCCGCCCATCACCCTGGAGGCCTTTCAGCAGGCGTGCAAGCGCTTCGGCCCGTCAGTGGGGCTGGGCTGCGACAACTTGCACCCTCGCCAGCTCCTTTGCTGCCAGTGGCGCTGCAGCTTCGCCTGATTGACATCCTCACGGCGTTCGAGGACGAGCCTTCATCGATCGTGGGACAGGTGACGCTCATGGTTTTTATCCCTAAAGCTGACGGAGGGACGAGGCCCATTGCGCTGCTCCCGTTGGCCTTGCGGCTTTGGTCTCGCCTGAGGCAGCCGTGCTGTGCCCGATGGGAGTCAGACCACAACTTCCCCTTCTTTGAGGGTCGCGATGGCCGTGATTGTGAGCAAGCGGGTTGGATCCACAACTGCTTCGCGGGCTTCGCGATGGCCTCCCCGCAGTTCGAGGTGGCCAGCTTGTTCCTGGACATCCGCAAGTTCTACGAACACGTTCGCCACGACGTCCTCAGGGCGTCGGCCCAACGCTTCGGCTTCAACCTGAAGCTGCTGCGCGGCTTCCTCGCCATCTACCAGGCCCCGAGGATCGTGCTGGCAGGAGGCATGGCGTCGGCCCCCTTTGGGGCCAGTGGCGCAGTGCTGGCTGGCTGCGCGTGCGCGACGGCTGTTGTTAAGCTTCCCCTACTTGGAGGTCTCCTCGCAGCTGGGGCTCAGCGGCCTCTCGCCACCCTGCGCAACTTGGTGGACGATGTCTCGCTCCAAGTTGTCGGCTCGGCGAGGTTGGTTGTGGACCAGCTCGTGGGGGCCAGTGGGGAAGTGCTGCGACACCTGCGGGCCCACCACCTCCCGCTCAACGAGGGCAAGGCCGTGTTCCTGGCCTCGTCGGCGCAGGTGGCGGACGGCCTCGCTGCCAGCTGGGCCGCCCTCGGCTTCGAGGTCAAGCGCGGCCTCCAGGCCCGCAACCTGGGCACCGACGCCAACGTGACCCGCAGAGGGGTCCACGAGGGAGCCGCCCGTGCTGTGGGGGGCCTCTCCCGTGCCAGGCGGCTGCGTACCCTGAGCTCGGCGGGGGCCGCGGTGGTGCACATGCGCCGCGCAGGCCCAACCGCCGCCATGTTGTGGGGCAGGACGGTCACAGGGGTGCCCGACGGCGAGTTGCACTCCTGGCGCCTGGCGGCAGCGCGCTCGGCTGGGAAGCTTCCCAAGGGTGCCTCCCTTGGGCTGAGGCCCAGGGCGATCGAGGTGCAGCGCTCCACCGACCTGGACCCGAGCCCAGCTCTGGTGCGTGCCGCGGTGCAGATGGCAGCCAACCTCCTTCAGACGGGCGAGGTGCCCCTGAGGATGTTCGCCACCTGCCTGGTGGAGGCCGTGCGCAGGCACGGCAGCGCCAGGGCGCCCTGGGTGCGCTACAGGAATCCCGTCGACGCCCTTGCCCTCTCTCTGTCGCGGGTTGGTTGGCGTCTCTCGGCTGGGCACATCCTGCACACCGACGACGGCCACACCTTGGACATGTTGATCATGGCCCCCCGCGAGCTCGGGCTGTTGGCTGCCGCAGGTGCCCGCAGGGCCTCCGACAGGGCTGAGATGACGCGGCTTGGGCACGGAGCCGCCCCCTCCATGCCCTTGTTTTGGGACGCACTCGGGCAGGTCATCGGCCCGCGCGGCAGGTTTAGCTGCAGGGAGAAGGCCGCAGTGGTGAGCTACCTGTCGAACGCCCACTGGCCGCAGACTCGCCTCTTTGCGTCTGGCGAGCGGGGCCGCTCTCGCTGCTGCGCCTGCGGCGAGGCGCGTGGCAGCCTCTGGCGCAGGCTTGTCGAGTGCCAAGCCCTGGCCGCAGAGACGAGGGACTCGCTGTCCGCCCGCCTTCTTCGCTGCACCACTCGGGTGAGGCAGCGAGGTGAGGAGGCAGAGGAGTGCTTCTCCAGGTGTTGGCTGCCGCAGCCCCCGCAAACGGCCTGGAGGTCGGACGCGATGGCAGTCGTGTGGGTGAAAAGGCCTGCCGACGGGCTGCTAGGCGGTCGCCTCTACCTCGACGGCCCGGCGCTCGACCCTGAGTTCGAGTGCGTCCGCAGGGCTGGCCGGAGCATCGTGCAGTGCGACGAGTACGGCAACATGCAGGCGGCGGTGTACGGCACGGTCCGCCTCGACCCGTGCCCCTTCCAGACGGCGAAGAACGGCGAGGACTTCGCGGTCTGGATGCTGAGCCGCTACATCGGGCCTTCGATCAGCGAGCTCAACATCGACTGTGCGTCCACGGTCAGCTGCTTGAAGCTCGGCAGGAAGTGTGCGGCGGCGGCCAACAAGCCTAATGCGCACCTGTGGTCGGCCGTGTACGCCTCACTTGACGGGGACTCGCTCAAGGTGAACAAGGTGGCGGCCCACTGCACCGAGATCGATGTTCGCGAGGGCAGGATATCGGAGGCGCAGTGGCGTGGGAACGCCCACGCCGACAGGCTGGCGAAGGCGGGGGCGGCCCTCCACAGGGTCAGCGCGGCTGCCAGGCGTGAGTTCTTCGGCACGATGGCCTCCCTGAGGGCGACGAGCGAAGGACTGCCGTCACCTTCGCGGCCCCGCTGGAGGAGCGTGCTGACGGCCTGCTGGCGGCCCCCGCGAGCGGTTCGCGTGCCGCGCCCGCCGCCGTGGAGCCCCGCGGGGAGCAGGCAGGCAGCCGCCCCGCCGCTGATGGCGCCTGGGCCTCGGCGGCGCGCGACGGCGGAGTGGCATTGGGCGCCGTGGTCTTCGCCTTCGCTGGGCGCACCCTCGCGTGCGCCAGGTGCGGTGAGGACGGCGCCGAGCAGGAGATCATCGCGTGCACCAAGTGCGGAGCGTATGCGAGGCTAGGCGGGCGCTCTGGCTCGCAGCCCAAGCTGAAGGGGCGTTGTCCTGGTGCAACGGGCCTCCCCAAGTCGCTGCGGGACCAGAAGTCGCGGTGGGGGCGTGGCCTCCACCCTGGGGGCACGCCGCGCGTCCGCAACGCGCGGACGAAGGGGGCGGGGCCCCCCCGCCGTCGCAAGGAGGCCGAGGTGCCGCGGGACGCCAGGGTGCGCTTCCTGAAGTGGCTCGGAGTCCAGCCTGATGCCCCTGCAGGCGAAGAGCGCTCCGCCTCGGTGGCTGGCGCTGTTGGGAGCGGCGCTGGCGGTGCGGCCTCTTCCTCGACAGAGGCGCCCGTGGCGGCTGGAGGTGCTGCGGCGGGCGCGGGATCGTGGCAGGCCTGGCTGGGAGCCTACGGCCTCGATGAGGAGAGCCCTCAGAGCTGGGCTGCGGAGGCCGAGGAGGCCCGAGCTGAGCGTCAGAGCAGGAAGCGGCGCAGAGATGACGGTGATGGAGGTGATTGAGTCCTGGCTGGCCCCAGCCTTGGGGCGCTCGGACCGCGCGAACGCGCGTGTGCCGAGCTCTCGCTGCTCCTGGCTGTGGAGCGCCAGCCTGCCTCTCCTCCTGTCCTCCCTCTGCGTTCTCCTCCTGTCCTCCCTCTGCGTGTGGGGCCCCTGGTGGCCGCGGGCCTCGGCGCGAGGGCGTGAAGATTCTTGCGCCTCGCTTGCCTCGCCGTGCCGCCTGGGGCCGTGCAAGCATGTTTGGGGCTTCGCCCGTCGAATGTTTGCATGTTGTTTATATTCCAGCGCCTCGCGCTGATGCCCCTTGACGGGGGTCTTGAGCTGACGGGCCGAGCAGTGCCCCGGGGCCGATGCGCCCTGGAGGCAGCCTCCTGCGGCTCGTCTGGGCTCTAGGGGTCCCTTGAGGCCCGCCCCCTGTCTTGGGACGGCCCCTTTGGGCTAGGGCCTCTCAGTGGGGCCTGGGCCCTCAGTGGGCTCCCGTTCAGCCTTTATAGGCCCCGCGTTACACGTTACACGTTACATGGGTGCACAGCAAAAGACGTCAGGCGAGCACGGCAGACCACACAGGAGCACGGCAGATCGCACAGGAGCACGGCAGACCACACAAGAGCACGGCGGACCACAGGCGCCCGCCCGTCCAGCACGCAACCCGCACGCATACCGTACTCCCTCCCCCGCCCGCCCAGCACACACCCAGCATATGTGCACGCAGCAGACCACGGCAGCACCGGAGGCCATCACGGGCACACCACAGGAGCACGACAGACAAGCACGGTAGACCACGGGAACACGGCAGACCAACGCGACAGACCACGGCAGCACGGCAGACCAGCGCAGCAGACCATAGCAGCATGGCACACCAACACGACAGAACAGCGCGGCAGACCAACTCCATGATCCAATGGGATCTGTGCTGGTCGTCCGCGATACGTTTCTGAATTTCCAGAATTTCGCTTCC